CCCCAGCCAACCATTCCCATCACACCTTCATTTGATGGTTTCCCAGCTTTTGTTTGGTTTCCTCCTAATTCTCACTCTTATTAGCAGTGAGATCAGCACAAAATAAGCTGGTTTTTTGAGTCCTGTCTTTTTGTCTTTTGTCTCCATGCAGTATTATTTATTTATTTATTTAAAACATTTATATTTCGCCTTCTCACCCCAAAGGGGACTGGGCAGAGCACAGCATATATACAGCAAACATTCAATGCCGGGACACAAATTCTTATATACATACATAAACATTAAAAACATTTAACAAAATATTAAAATACACCATTTAAAACTGTCCTAGTTATCCATGTCAAATCTAATTGGCTTGGTAATCTTTCCTATTGCTGCTTTATTGCCCTGTCCTGAAAGCTTGGTCCCACAGCCAATTTTTTACCATCCTTCTTAAGAACAGGAGAGAGGGGGCTGACCTGATCTCACCAAGAAGGGAGTTCCATAGCCAAGGAGCAATCACCAAGAAGACCCTGTCTCTCATCCCCACCAATCGTGCCTATAACAATGGTGGGACGGAAAGCAGGGCCTCCCTGGAGGATCTTAATCTCCGTGATGGTTCATAGGGAGAGATGTGTTCAGACAGGTAAATTGGGCCTGGGCCGTTTAGTAGCAATACATCATAATTTATCTAAAATTGAATTACACCCACAGGGCTGAAAGTGGTCTCCACCTTTTGAGTTATGCATAAGCAAGCAAAGTTTATTGATTAGTCCATTGACTGTATCAACATTAACTTTTGAGTTATGGAACATCCTCCCTGGATATTTTGTAATAGCAGCTTTTAAGATGAATTACTGGCTGGATCAATTGATTTACACAGTGGAATTAATTACTTCAAACCTGCAGGTTCCTTAGCTATCTAAGTAGCATACCTTCATTTGGCCAGTGGTCACTTACATGTATGCATGGGGTGTGTGTGTGTGCATATTGCTGACATTTGTTCTCTGTCACTATTTTTATCGCTCATCCTCGGTTTTTCAAGTAATTTCCAAAAAGCTTCAGCTACTGGAGTCCAAACCCTGCAATGCCCCAGGTGAAATTCCTTATAACTCCATTCTTCTTCTATCATGCTGGGTGGGAGGTGCAAGGAGAGTTAGCAAAGATTATATTTCTGGGATAGAGTCTGTCTTTCTCAGTAAAAAAAACAAACCCACAAAGCAAACATAGCCTCCATCAGAAATTCACTCCAGAATCACTCAGGATTGAAACAGCTATCAAGGGATCAATTACCTTTACATTTAATTGATATAAACAATGATTGTAATGTAAGTAGAACCTAACTATGAGTCGGTTAAACGCTGACCAGCAATGAGGTTTGTATTGCTTTTATTGTTTTAATTGTTTTTTACGGGTTTTATGGCTACTCCTGCCGATAATATTGATTGTTTACGTTAATTGTTATCAGTGTTATAACTATTGTTGTTACTGATGTTATGTTTTTGATGTTATGTTTTTGTAATACAGGCATCGAATTGTGCCTTGTTTGTGTAAGCTGCCCTGAGTCCCCCCCGCGTGAGAAGGGTGGGGTATAAGCAACCGTAATAAAAATAAATAAATAAATATTTAGGGATGTGATTCAGAAAATTGCATTTAATAAACTACAACAGCAATAGTTTTTTTTAGATATGGTTATCATGATTTTCTATTGGTGAGCAGATGAAGACTGGTACATGGCATATGTTCTCTTTCTCAAAAATAGTGCTGATAGGGGGAAACTGGTGCCATTTTTAAAAAATCAGCATGTCAAATAGACCCAGAAACAGGGCTGATAGCTGAGGAACCAAAATGAGATTTCACCTGTTTTGTATTTCTCAGATAGATTGTCTTTCCTAGCAAAAACAACACCTCCACCTGATCTTCAGAACTAACCTCTGGAATCACTTGGAATTGAAATGGCTATCAATAGATCGGTTACATTTACATTTATTGATATACATGATTTTATTGATATATATGATTTGAATGTCTGTCATTAAATCTGTCTCATAATCTAGATATTTCCATAACCTTATGGTTTAGCTATGTATTTTGATTTTGCTGCACCAGTCTTGAGAGCAAATAGCAAATAAAATTATTATTATTATTATTATTATTATTATTATTATTAGATACACAACAAGATTAGTACACAGCAAACAAGATCACTATGCTGGCTTTTGTATTCGATCACATGCCGGACACTTCCCAAGTGACTAGGACTGTGTGATGTTTCGGCGAATAAATAATTTTGAAGTAAGAAGAATGAACATGGAATGGCTAGACTATGCTGCTGGACAATGATTTTAACAGGACAACATTGGTGATCATATGTTTTTAAATGGTTTATATATGCTTTTTATAATGTTGTGTTGTATATTTTTAACGGATTTTTATGAATGCATAGCATTAAATGTGCTAATTTTCTGAGCTGCCTTGAGTCGCCGCAAGGCTGAGAAAGGCGGACTACAAATGCTGTAAATAAATAAATATATAATGTGTGCAGATCCAAGTAGGATCTTATTATTTATTATTACACTATGTGTAATAATAAAAAAAAGTGTTTGAAAAAAAGTGTTGTTTTGAAAGCATTATCTCCTGTTCAATTGCGCAGGACTTACTTAGAAAGTAGTTGTTATACTCCAGAAACTTCTGCCAAAAACTATGTTGAGACTCATTGGTTCCCAACCTGTGAGCCGTGAGACCTAAAATAAGGTCCATGGCTCTAGGTTATTAAATATGTTTTTTGTGAGTGAGCAGATGGCGACTACTGGATGGTGTATATTCTGTATCAGAAATTAGAGCTGATGTGGTCTATCCAATGCAGTTTTCCGATTCAGCACCCCAAATAACCAAACCAAATCTAAAGTTAACCAAAAACAGATTTGTAACCCTTTTGGTACTAATGTTGGAGAGCAGTCCCTGGTCAAGTGGTCCCAGGTCAAAATGGTCCTTGGTCAAAGTGGTCCCTGGCCAAAGTGGTCCTTGGTCAAAGTGGTCCTTGGTCATGTGGTCCCTGGTCAAATGGTGCTTGGTCAAAGTGGTCCCTGGTCAAAGTGGTTCCTGGTCAAGTGGTCCTTGGTGAAAGTGGTCCCCGGTCAAAGTGGTCCTTGGTCCAAGTGGTCCCTGGTCAAAGTGGTCCCTGGTCAAAAGAAGTTTGGGAACCACTGCTCTATGAGATACTCATTGAAAAACTATAGCAAAAGGTTTTTGCAGTTTAATAAACATTCCCCGTGTTTTTATGACAGAACCAATTAGGAAATGGCCATTTGTAACCCAAGAACAAAAACCGTGTTACATAGTGTTGTTGTTAATATGCTTATCAAACACCAACAGGGAGTAAAATACTCTGGGATCGAGCATGGTTTGTTGTCCTGGACGCAGCATCCCAGCATCGTTTGAAGGCTTTTCATTTGGGGGGAAACGAAAGGTGCCCCTGAGCGTTGCAAGAGTGCCGGGCTCGTGACGTCAAGCTCTGGAGAAGGGCGGTAACGCGGGCCGTGCTGGACCGACCTTCTCCTTCTCTTGTGGGAAGAAAGAGGAGGGCGCCATGAAGGCGAAGAGGCCGCCCTCACCCGCAGCCTGGCGACCCGAAAGCCCGGTCCAGCTTGCCCCTTTCGTGCCGCCGCCGCCGCCGCGTCCTCCTTCGGCCCACCAGCAGGGGCTGCCCTGGCACCGTCTCTCTTCCAAGGAGAAAGGCAGACAGAGCGGAGGCGAGTCAGCCTCGCCTCGGAGGAACCAAGCGGCGGGGCCTCCCTTCACCTGCGCGGCCGCGCGCTCGCCCTCCTTTGTCGCCCTCCTTTGTCCTTTGGCCGGAGCCCTCGGGGGACAAAGGAGGGCGAGCGCGCGGCCGCGCAGGTGAAGGGAGGCCCCGCCACTTGGTTCCTCCGAGGAAAGGAAAGGGAGAGGCGGGGACTCAGAGGGGAGCCCCCAAGCAGGTGCTCCTCTGTGGGAACGGTTTAGGGAACTTCCCAGAAAGAGACCCGTGCCCTTCTCTTCAAGGGCTTCTCCCCGCCAGACGGGTTGATGAGCTGGCGCCACATTTTAGTTCTCTGTTATTGTAGGAGAGGATAGGCGCGTGTTGTGGTTGTGGATCCGGTATATTTTTTCTTTCGACCCCCCTCCAAAACCCTAAAGGGCAGGCACCCTCAAACTGCAGCCCTCCAGCTGTTTGGGCCTTCTACTCCCAGAATTCCTGACGACTGAACAGACTGGCTAAGGCTTCTGGGAACTGGAGGGCCGCAGTTTGAGGATGTCTGCTCAAGGGGTTGCGAGCCCTGCTCAGGACATAAGACTCAGAGTTGGAAGAGACCTCGTGGGCCATCCAGTCCAACCCCCTGCCAAGAAGCAGGAGAATCGCCTTCAAAGTACCCCTAACAGGTGGCCATCCAGCCCCTGCTTAAAAGCCTCCGTAGAAGGAGCCTCCACCACACTTCGGGGCAGAGAGTTCCACTGCTGAACAGCTCTCACAGTTAGGAAGTTCTTCCTAATGTTCAGGGGGAATCTCCTTTCCTGTAGGTACCTCCTTCCTGCCTTAGGTAAAAGAGGCCCATCGATACCGCCATACGGTGCATTGACCGACATTATGTAGGTCTGTAGTGCGTTATAAGGCGGTGCAGGTGAGGCCAGTGCCCATCTACACTGGCCAAGGAAGTCAGTTTCAAACTGGCATGGCAGACAGGGTTTCGCTGTGCGGATGAGGATGATGATAATCCAGTTTGGGCCCCGAATGGGGATTATTACACAAGCCCCCCGATTAAGGGCTGTCTCTTTTCGCGCGCTTTTGGGGAGTTTGCCTTCTGGCGCGGCAGCTTGGAAGCCAGCTTTGGAGTGCAGGCGAGGCTCGGCCTCCTCCGGCTTGGCGGCCAGGTGTCCCTGCGGAGGCCGGGCTCCCTCCCTCCCTCATCCTCTCTCTCTCTCTCTCTCTCTCTCTCTCCCTCCCCCTCATGCCCCTCCCCCTCCCGACTCTGCCGGGCCCGGGGTTGGGCCGCCCTGGGCGGGGAGTCACATGATGGAGCCTGTCCTCGGCGGTTCGCGAAGAGCCGGCTGCCTGGCGGAGGAGAGAGGCTTCTGATGGCCGCCGCCGCCCCCTCCCTTGGTTGACCCTGGACTGAGGGAGGCCACGGCAACACAGCGACCACCTGTGAGCAGCAGCAGCAGCAGCAGCAGGAGGAGCATGCGCCCCAGGCAGGCAGGCAGGCAGGCAGGTAGGCAGGTAACCAGCCCTTCCCGAAGCGTCGCCGGCGCAGTGGCTCCCCGCACACACGCCCACCCAGCCACCCGCGCGTTCTCCCATCAACACACACACACAGGAGCTGTTCCCGAGGGTGCCCTTCCCTGCCCCACACACAAACCCAGTGGCTCCCCGGGCCTCCGGCGTGTGGGAGAGAGTGGCTTGCTTTTCCTTCAGACCCTGGTATGGTTCCCTTCCTTGAAGGAGTGCCTATTCCTGCCAATGGAGCTTTCTTTGCCAACCAGAACAAGGGGTCACTCCTCCCTCCACAGAATTCTCCCCAGCCTTTGGGCGTTCAACTCCCAGGCAATGTGGCCCACTGTAGGGAATTCTGGGAGCCCAAGCCCAATACACCTAGAACAGGCATGGGCAAACTTTGGCCCTCCGGGTGTTTTGGACTTCAACTCTCACAATTTCTAACAGCCTACCAGCTGTTAAGAATTGTGGGAGTTGAAGTCCAAAACACCCGGAGGGCCAAAGTTTGCCCATGCCTGATCTAGAGGAAGAAAAGGTTGGGAATCACTGGTCCAAGATGGTGATGGTGGTGTTGATTATATTTATATTTCAGTTTTCTTCTTCTCAATGAGACTCAAAGTGGCTAAAGCAGGCATGGGCAAACTTTGGCCCTCCGGGTGTTTGGACTTCAACTCCCACAATTCGGGAGTTGAAGTCCAAAACACTCAGAGGGCCGAAGTTTGCCCCTGCCTGGGAAAAAGAGACTCAAAACTCAAAAGAGAGCAAAAGTGCCCCATAACTGTATTTTATTTATTTATCTCACATATTTGTATCCCACCCTTCTCACCCTAGAAGGGGACTCAGGGGAGCCTTACAGCAGGTATTGATGCAATGCCAATACAAATAAATAGAAAAAATAAATACAATTAAAACCATACAATTAAACAGTAATTATTAAAGCATCGATTAAAATCACATAATCCAGATCGTAGTTCAAGACCTGACCAACTGTCAGTTTCATTAGTCCGTTATCCTTATTGCACTATTTACTGGTTGAATGCTTGGTCCCACAGCTATGTCTTAAGCTTATGAACCTGACAATGGAAGCTAAGCGTGGAAGAGGTCTCCTTCTAGGTTTTGTGTTGGCCAAGACAGGCAGGCTGAAGGACAACTTTAAAAATCTGATTGGTTCAAGGTTTTTTGTCCCCTACTCCATCCCCACATGTAAAATGTAAAGAGCTCAATCCTCATTTCTCTCCCCAAACAACGAAGCGACACAGGCGGGGCAGGTGTAATTAAAGACAACACCTCTTGTCAAATTATGTACATTATGGAGGAAGTAAGCAATTTACCAAACAAGCCACTTGTTTTGCCTGCCTAGATCATTAACAATGAGTTTTGTCCTTAAAGCATATTCCACTATGCTGGTACTGGTTCATCTCCACCAAGAGAGCCATTATGGCCATAAAAGTCACATGTCCTTCAACTTCAGGGCCCTGTCACTACCTGGCAGATGTACATGTTGGGGAGAGGGGGATCGCTACGTGCTTGCAAGACCCTTTTTGGTGAGTTGTTGTTGTTTATCCATTCAGTTGCTTCTGACTCTTTGTGACCTCATGGGCCAGTCCACACCAGAGAACTCTGTCGGCCATGACCACCCCCAGCTCCTTCAAAGTCAAGCCAGTCACTTCAAGGATAATATCCATCCATCTTGCCCTTGGTTGGCCCCTCTTCTTTTTTCCTTCCATTTCCCCCAGCATCATTATCTTTTGGTGTACCTCACAGCAAACTCTGACAATCACAAGCTTTGCCATATCTTTTACAACAAACCACATATAATCCAATTAAAATTGAAGCTAGAGGTCAAACGTCTACTGAGGAATTTTTTTCCTGACACTCATTGTTAATTAGATCAGTGGTTCCCAACCTTTTTTTGACTAGGGACCACTTTGAACAGGGACCACTCTCCAGCATTAGTACCAAAAGGTTACGAATCAGTTTTTGGTCAACTGTAGATTTGGTTTGGTTTGATACAGATAATTGCATTGGATAGACCACATCATCTCTAGTTTCTGATACAGAACATATGCCATCCAGTTGTTGCCATCTGCTTGCCCACAGAAAACCATATTTAATAAGCCTCGGCACTATAAGAGGGTTTCACGAGACCAGTCACTCTCATTGCAGTGGTGTAGCAACAGTGAGGCCACGGACCATATTTTAGTTCTTGCAGACCACTGGTGGTCCACAGACCACAGGTTGGGAACCACTGAATTAGATATTCCCTGTCCGCCCTCAACCCAATTTTTCAGTTTGTGTAGTTCTCTGAAGCCATATCTCCACGAGCCATGTAGCAATACTGTAAACAGGAAACTTTTATGAGAAAACATGTTTCTTTGGGATTAAATGCAATTCCTAGGCCCTATTAGTCACGAAGAGTCGGAAACGACTGAATGAATGAACAACAAATAGGCCCCATTGGAGTAAATTCATCAGTGGGAATTTTTGCATAAGTCCAAATTCTCATTGAGATGGCAACTGATTTTAGGCCTGTGATCTTAAATTGATTCTACTGGTATGGAACTGATGCTTCTGTTCAGTTGTCCACTGTGATCACTGCTTATCTGTATTGAATCAAGTATGATCAGTAAAGGTACTGAAGCATTCCCTGTGTAGTTGAATATACAAGTAATGGCAGCAATACATAGTTGGCACTCAAGATAGCTGTCAGCAGTAGCATATCGGAACATGTAACAAGATGCCAGACAGTTATGGATTCAGCTCACGCAATTCTCATAAACAGGGCTTGTTGTTTGGAAGCAGTTCAATGTGGGGTTTGCCTTGTTTCTGACCCTTATGGAGTTGATTCACCACTCCATATTTCAGGCCCACTCAAATATCCTAATCAGGTAGCTGGGTTTTGTTGAAAATGGGACTTCATACACATTTGAAAATGGGGATAATGCATTTTTTGTTTTGTCTACTAGTTAAAGCATGCTTTTTAAATTTATAGGTATTAATTGTTACTTTTTACAAAAGTTTGGGTTCACCTTATTTTTCTCTCCTCCTCTGCCACATTTTTTTATCATCCCTGACCATTGACCATATTGTTGAAGTCCACTCTGTTGGAGAAGGCATGCTGGGCGGGGGATGGTAGTAAAAGTTCTAGCCCCCCAAATGTGGAGGGCATCATGTTGAGGGAAGCTAGTTTATGTTAGCCTGAGGTTGACATCCCTTTTACTGTTTATGTGTTTGTCAAGCACACAAACCCCAGAAATTTTACAGTTGTAATGTTTCTTGTATGAAATGCAATGAAAGGTGGCACTTTACCTGTTGGCCGTCAACCTCCTAAAGGCAAATTTAGGGGTGGGGGTGGGGGAATCTGGCAAGGCTGAGTCAACCTGAACTGCTGCTTATGTAATTTCTGCTTTTTAGCATTCTGTAAATCACTGGCACATGATGGAGAATCGGGGACCTGCCTAAATACCTCAGAGACACCAGATCCTGCCAGATTTTGGAAGCTAAGTAGGATCAGCCCTTACTATAACTGATACTGTAAACCAGTGGATCTCAACCTTGTGGGTCTTCAGGTGTTTTGGCCTACAATTTCCAGAAATCCCAGTCAGTCCAAGGCCAAAAACATCTGGGAAGCCACAGATGAGAACCACTACACTAGACTATATTTCAGAGGAAGGAACTGGCAAAACCATCTCTGAATGTTCCTTATCTAAGAAGAAGGTCTCAATAAATCAGCAGTTGACCTGAAGGCACATACGGGAGCCGGTGGGGGGAAGGGGGAGATTCAGAGGAGGAAGTGCGGGTGAGCAGTACCTCATCAGACTATGTCTATATAGTAATGATACTTTTTCTTAACTTGTTTTAAAGGCCCTTGTTTGGTGAACTCCTAGGAAATGGATCCAGTCTGCTGGAAATCTTTGAACTGCTTCATGTGGGTACTTTTCTGAAGGCTGTACACTGGGGTGGGCAGGGACCAAGACTGGCAACTTGTTTTTGTAACACTTGGAGATTCTGCTGCTATGGAAGAAAGCAAACAACAGGATCTCCCACAAGAGAGTCAGGACGATGGCATCAGCAGCTCAAGACCATTGCCTGGTGGAACCCTGCCTGTCAAGGGGGAGATAAAGAAACATGCTGTTACAGATGACTACAAAATCTCCAAGCGAGTCCTGGGCCTTGGCATTAATGGCAGAGTATTGGAGTGCTTCCACAAGGTAACAGGGAGGAAATGTGCTTTAAAGGTATGTAGATCTGGACTATATTTTCTCTTGTATCATCTTTTGAAACTAAAGACAACTGTTGTCTTCCCTGCTGAAGCTTAAATCTTACAGAAGAGTTCACATTAGACATACTTTTTTATTTTTACATTTGTGGCTTGCTTTATTTTTACTTAAAGAAAGATGTTCACTGTCCTTTTCACAGGAATTCAAATAGTATCTTTACTCAGCTGTATTTCGGAATGCTTGAGTTTCAAATGCCAACCTGCACATCATATCAGGTAAACATGGTCCAAATGCTTCTAAAAGGAGGTCCTCATCTCTTACGGCATTTTAAAAATCTGCATAAGAAAGCTTGCCATCATGATCATAGTCCATTTTTTCCGTGTTATTTCTACTAAATCTTTAATTCCTTCATCAGGATTTCTTCCTATGGCTGTTTGAGCAGGCTGTTCTTCAACATATGAAACATTTCCTCTCGTGATATATATCCATCACTATTCATGTAATTGACCTCAAAGCAGTATTTTATCTTTTTTTTTCTAGTGTTCCTCGAAGAAATATCGATAGGCCTTCTACCCATTCTGTTACACTGACACAGCTGTCAGAAGCACTGAACACTCTGTCCATAATCATATTGTCTGCATTAGACATTCTAAAGCCCACATAGGACAACCTTGTGATGTTAGAAACCCCAGTTTTTCCAGACTATCAAGGCTTCTCCAAGCCAGTCCCCAAATTCTGGATTTAAATTACTAATTGTAAAATTGTTCTGCTCCTTGGCGTGGGCTGAAGTATGCCTCCTTCTCCTCCTCCTCCACCCCACAAGTGAGTCAGGTAGTGATTTGAATACTGATGTGCCAGTGAACCAGGAAAACATTGCTTGAGCTGCAGTAGGTTTGAGCTGAAAACTCAAGAAGTACATTTTCAAAATCTCTTTAGAAGAAACTGACAGCTTTACATAAATCCTCAGTTGTTCAGGTCCAAGGACTTCTGCTTGCCATTACCCCATTCTGTTGAATAGCACCGTTTGTTTTATTACAACTCAGCTAATATATGCTTTCATTAGTGCAATTTAATAAATTCTGCCTTAGTGTCTAGAAAAAGATTCTTTCATGGATAATTAAAATGTTGGTTCTTGCTATGTGGATAATTTGAAGGTGTTGCATCTATAGATGTGTGGAACTGGTAGCCCATTAGTGCCCTATGAACTACTTTTCAGGTGAAGTGTAAAAAAGTTTAGTTTAGGATTCTACTCACTACCTATACTTCTAAAATGTGTTTTCAGTGCACAATTAGAACAATTAAGTTTGCATTAATTACTGAGAGAGTAAACATCCTGTCAAAAGGTATACTTCTGTGTGCAAGGGTGACACTCATGACAAAACAGGGACATGACTAACAGGCTAGGCGAGATCCTTCCAGGCAGCTTCCGAGACTGGAGAGAGAGAATTGAATTCTTGTTCAGCTTAATTTTTAATAAAATATATGGCTCAGTTGGTACATAAATATGTGCAAGAGATATAATAATAGTTGAATGTATTAATTTCCTTATATCAGCCCAAAAAGATGAGGAGAGGTAGCGCATAATTAATTACATGTCCATCTCTACGTGGGGCTGCCTTTGAAGATAGTTTGGAAGCTTCAGTTGGTTCAGAGATTGGCAGCCAGATTTCTAATCGAAGCCCTGTACAAGGAGAGATCCACTCCCATATTGCAGCAGCTCCACTGGCTGCCGGTCTTCTTCCCGGCTAAATATGGACTGCTGGTCATTACCTATAAAGCCCTAAATGGTTTGGGTCCAGGCTATTTGACTAATTACTTCTCCTCTTTTAGACTAATTCAGACACTGCTGTCAGCGGAGGAGGCCCTGCTCTCGGTCCTACCCTCATCTCACGGCTGGTGGAAATGAGTGATTGCCCCCTACCTCTAGAACTCCCTCCCTAAAAAAATAAAGACAGTTCCTTCCCTTCTCTCCTTCAAAAAATGACTGAAAACGTACTTTTGGTCATTAGCATATGGAGAGGAGAAGGATTAGAGGAGGATTTGCCACTAATATACCTCTGATTGAGAACTTATTGTACTTGGGCTTTGCAGACCCTATCAGCCCAGTTAATATCACTAGCCACATAGTCAACTTACATATTTTAGTGAACCTTTGTCAGCTTTTGTAAATTGATGTGGATGTTTGATGTTCATGTTTTAGATTAGATATAATTTATCTGATAGGTCATGTTTTATTTAACTTTAGGTGTTACGTTGCAATGTGTTTTTATATGTTGAGCTATTTTGTGTTATTATGTTTGCATTTGTTGTTTGTATTGTGGCATTAAATGTTTGCCTTTTTTGTTTGTTGGAATCTGCCTTGAGTCCATTCGGGGAGATAGGGCGGAATATAAATGAAGTCTTTTTATTATTATTATTATATCCAAATCCCAACTTAATTCCATAAACAAAGCTTTAGAAAAGTACAAGGGCAAGTTGGATCATAAAAAGAAGCAACTTTCTACATTTTTCCCTTGCTTGATTCCAACTGAAACCGTTATATGGGTTGTTGAATGGAAGAGGAAGAGAGAGAAAGAGAAATCTTTAGAAGCTAGCAGTGCAATCCTAATTCAAAGTGGTGCTGGCTGTCATGAGTTACAAATAGTCAGAAACCTTTTGTGTCAGCTGCACTGGCTGAACTGGCCTTATGCCAGCATAACCCTTTTTTGCTGTCTTGTCTTAGAGATCAACTGGTAAAGCACTCTGCTGGCTGAGGTCATCTGTCAGAAGAGATAGCAAATGCGTGGAGAAAAGGCAGAGCAAATGGAGCATTTCATATTTAGGATTACGGTATGCCAGATTCAAACAGGCTTCAGCCCAGGAGTACAGCCATAATGCCTACACACTGTTAGGCCAGGAATGCATCTATACCAGGCATGGCCATTTTTTTTTTGCCTTGGGGCCGTATTGTTGGCTGGTAGGGCCAGGCCAGGAGGTGGGGGGTGGGGGGCACATGCAAGGCGGGCACTGGTCCGGGAGAGGCTGGGCTAGGAGGGGGCAGGTCAGGAACTGGGTCATCCTCAGGTTGTCCCCCAGCATAAGAAAGGGGCTTCTTGCCTGATCCTTATGCCAGGAGAAAGGTGGGACAGGAGGTGACGGCCCTGATCCTCCTCCCGATTGTCCTCTGATCCTCATCATTATGCTGGGAGGAGGATGAGACAGGTGGTGGCTCAGAACACTCCAGAGGGCTCTCAGCAGCTGTGTGCCTTCCTCCTTGTCTTTTTGTCATAAGGACGTGGCGGGCCGCCGTGCCCTTATGGCAAGAAGACAGGGGAAATGAGGAGGGCCTGAGGTAAACACTCAGGGGGCCCCATCCAGCCCTCAGGCCTTAGTTTGTCCATGTCTGATCTATACTTTAAAATGAATGCAGTTTGACACCACTTTAACTTCTATGGCTTGGTGCTATGGAATCCTGGGAGCTGTGATTTGGTGAAGCATCAGCACTCTTTGGCAGAGAAGACTGAAGACTTTGTAAAAATACAATTCCCATTATTCCATAGGATTGAGCTATGACAGTTAAAGAAATGTAAAACTGCATTACATCTACACTGTAGCTGCACCCCATTTTGAAGGTAGTCTTATGCAATTTACACCATCCTTAGAATATGGGTTCATCTACACATATCATTGAAAGCGGCTCCAACAAAATGCAAAGGGTATACAGCACATTATAAAGAAACTCTCAGGAAAGTCTGAGTTAAGCTCTTTCGTGCACTGCAATAGATCCCAATATATTCCAGATCCCAAGGCAAAATCAGCTTTGCCATGTTTGGAGCCCATTGTATGTACCTGTCCTTTATAGGATTAGGAATTAGGGGTTAGGGGTTGCCAAATAATGCTCCAAGGATATGGCTGGCTTACAGGGAGCTAACTGATTCCCTGGGACAGGTAACGGATTGCTTCTGCTCCTAATTGTCACTTTTCCCCACCACCTGTGCCTCCTGGAAATGGGGGGAAATGCACAGAGTGGTTTGAAGCCAGGTTCTATAGTTAATGTCATCACGCCTTCCTGATCTCAAATTGGTTCCTGATCTATCAATTGAAACACCCATACAGTCAAACTGGTTCCTCCCAAACTGGTTCCAAGCTTCATTGTAGTGTCAATGTAGATGTGTAGTGTCAGGGAGGGGTTTGAATTTAGCACTCATCTGGTGTTGGTTCAAATGAGCATCAGCATTTTTGTGGGTTTGGATTGTTCTCTAAGAGACTGGTGACACTCAAACATTACATGAAAGTAAGATTTGGAACTGAGAGCACTACTGCATCCTCCTCCTCCAGAAATGCCAAATTTGTGGCAAATCACAACTGTTGTGTCAGGACGTGGTAAACTATAGTTTGGTAGCAAACAGATACAGGAAGGAGCAGTTGAATTATTTGTTCTTATAAAACCAAAGCATAATCTGGCATTATATCTTGCGTGTCATGCAAGGAGATTGTATGTTTGTGTGTGGATTTTATATCATTTTTGCTCGAAACTTTCTCCAATGTCTTTTTTATTTCAGTTGTAATTATGGCATGTTTAATGTTAAATCATTAATCTGCTTGGGGTCCAGATTCATTTTTTCAAATGAAATTAGCAAAACGTGCACAATTTCATAGGACAGTAATTTGAAACTCGTCTAAAACTGGATTGGGGAACTTGAACAAGCATAATTTCGTATTGAGAGAATTCTCTGTAGAATCTGACAATATCCTTGCTAAATTGTATAGCATAACTTTCTCTTGATCTCACAAATACTGTTGGTAGTTCATAACTCTAATTGCAAATCTGTGCAAGATTACTTACATGTATGTCATTGGGTTCATTGGGACGTAGTATGTTTAAGCCTGTAATTCTGTACATTTTTTTCATGAGAATAAGCTGCATTAAATGCAATTTATTTCTTAGTAACTATGTCACATGGCTTTGCTACAGAGAAGCAAACCTAGTTTCTGAATAAATCTGTAGGGTGAAGTGGTCAACAAACAATGCAATGGAT